CCACCGCACCCGCCACCTGCACCTACCACCCGCACCGCCGCACCCGCCACCCGCACCTACCACCCGCACCCTACGCACCTAACACCCGCACCCCTGCACCCTTGCACCTACCACCCGCACCCTATGCACCTACTACATGTGCACCTACACGTGTGCATGTAATAGAAACCATACTTTTCATTGCTTTTAAAGTTTGATAAATAATAATAGTAGTAGGGGTAGGAGTAGGAGTAGGAGTAGGAGTAGGAGTAGGAGTAGGAGTAGGAGTAGGAGTAGGAGTAGGAGTAGGAGTAGGGCGGAGTAGGGGTAGTGGTAGTATTCGTAATAGTAGTCGCAATAGTCGCAGTAGTAGTAGTAGTAGTAGTAGTAGTAGTCGTCGTGGTCGTGGTGGCGGTGGTGGTAGTGGTAGGAGTATATAAGCATAAGATATTTAATTTATTGATAGCTATTGTTAGCGAAACAGCTAGGGTAGGAATAGTACTGACAAAAAAGTAGTAATCACACGAGAAACAAAACATATCATTACAATAGAAGCACTGCAGATAGAAGTAATAAACGCAACAAAGACTAAATAGTGGCAGTAGCATCAGTATTGATAAGACTAATTAGAGCAGTTATACCATAAGAAGATTAATCATAGTGAATCAGAGTGCAAATGAGACTGAGAATGACGTTTGTAATAGCAGAGTAGCAATAAGCAATGACGCTAGCAATGACAAGACCAACCATAACGGTAAATACAACAGCAACCACCAGCACCAGAGCAGCACCAGCAGCACCAGCAGCACCAGCACCACCAGCACCACCAGCACCACCAGCACCACCAGCACCACCAGCGCCAGCACCGCTAGCACCACCGGCACCACCAGCACCACCAGCACCACAGAACCAGCAGCACCAGCAGCACCAGCAGCGCCAGCAGCGCCAGCAGCACCAGCATACCACCACTACCACCATTGCCATCACCGCCACCAATGCTTCCTGGCCCTAGCACAGTCCAGAACTACCAGCATTGCTGGCAGCATGACCAGCAGCAGGCAGCAGCAACGGTGACAAAACCGACCGTAGCTTCACAGCCAGACTGTCAGACCACTGAACAGAGTCAGTGGAGTGGTCCAACTTTCCCCATTCAGTCGCTAGCGACTGATCGCCCGCCAGGTGGTCACCGACCAGAGCCGAATAGACTCCATAAGCACATGCACGCTGCCAGTACCAAAAAAGGCGCAAGAGCTATGAACATCCCCTCTTCAGCACCATAAAGGTTTGCCTTAACCGATGAGCTAAAGACATGAGCCCTAGTTTAAGCCAAAGCCTAAGTTCGACAGGGCTGTGACACCGGGCCACTACCCTCGAGAGGCCGGTGGAAAGTGAATTACACGTGATTCGCTTTCAGCGGCATGTCGAGACCGTTTCAGTCTCCGGCCTCAAGCCCAGGCTGCGATGCCACCTGCCAGGTCCGGGTAGGTCAGGCTGCGCAAGCTTGATGCACGTCGGTGCAAGCACATGCACGTGAAACCCCCCATATCATCTCCATCAGAGAGTCAGGCCAGACGACCCTTTCAGCCTAGGGTTCAAACGACCACCGCCGGGTTCTGCAGTCACTTCGTGGGCACAAATTTAGAGCTTCAATGTTGATCCTTCCCATGGAGTCTTCAATAATTGATCTTCTAGCCAGGTTTTGCTTCAGTGGTATCAGTTTCAGTGTATCAAGTTATGTTTCGGTTGGATGCGATCTGAGTATCGTCCAGTTCGTGTGAAGATCTTGATTGCTGAAGCCACTCGAAGCGTCACAATTTCATGCGGATCGATGCTAAGCCTCAAGCCCAAAAGCCGACGAAAAAGGAGACATCACCAAGATGCCTCTGCTGAGAGCCAGGCTGGACATGCGCTCGACCACAAGGCCAAGGCGAGGAGGCACCCGCGCACAGTTTGGACCCTGGGCTTAGATGAGTGTTAAGGGGATAGGCATCAACAAAATCAGATAGGGATGAACAGAATCTAACCGGGATCAAAAGAAATCACATAAACACTCACAAACTGGTCTTTCTCTCTCAAGGCAAACAAGGAAGGGAGCAAGGACGGGGCGTGTTTAAGACATGTGATGAACCGGAATCGCCACATGAGGGGGCGTGTTGAAGATCTATGATGAACCGAATCTCGCCACTATGGATGACACAAACTTACATACTGCTACCGACCGCAAGCAGTCTGTCCCTGGTACCGCGAACTGGTATTCTTATGATTCTTGAACAGACTCCCCAGAAGATATGACGTTTGATTTTTTGATCATTGTTTTTGACCCCACGCATTTGTTTTTTTTGAAACTTGTTTGATTTTTGGATCCCTCAGCCAGTGTTTAAGGGATTGGAGTCTGATTAGAGAGGCTCCGGTGCTTTTCCTTATCTCCTGTGGCAGGACGTTGGGATTGATTTCCGTCTGTTTAGGGATTTGGCGTCTTGCAGAGGCAGCTGGGTTTCGGTTGTCATGTGAGCAATTTCCTTCAGCACACTCGCGCGATTGTGGAATGTCTCATAGTTCGCCGCAAAGTTTCACACTGTAGTTTCCCTTGCTGACCACAACACAGATCCTAGCAAATTGTACTGTGTAGTAGCACAAAGGAGCCAATTCCGAGAAAAAGAAACACACGCCGCGGAAACACGTTTCTCTGCTACACTTCGGAAGGGTGTCCCGCAAGACCTACGAGAAAGGAACAGGGCGTGGGTCGTCGTGGTTGTTTTCGTTTTGTCCTCCAATGAATGCGAAGGTCTGCGTCCCGGTTTGTGGCGATGGCATCCTCTCGACACCCATGGAAGAATGCGACGACATGAACCTGCAGTGGAGCACTCAAAGGAAAACCCTAAATCCCAACACCTAGAGCCTAAGCCACGCTCACCGAGGCCAGGCGATGGATGCAGTCCAGATTGCAAGGTGGAGGCCGGTTTGCCAGCGGCCATCTCGCAGACTTCTCAAAAGCTTGTGATACTGAACTTGATTACCAGGATCTTTCTTAGGACGTCAAAGCCACTAATCCCCATATTCACCCTATAGAACATTGCTGTTTGAAGGCCTTCTTCGAGCTGGCAGCTTAGATTTTTCCCTCTCGGTGGTTGGACAGACTTGCGCAGGATCTGCTTCAGGTGCACCTATGATGACTTCTGGCTACGCTCCGTCTGTAAGGTGCACTGCGGAGCTGGAGCCTAAGCATAGTTAGCGTGCTCTCGTCCTGCATCCAGAAGAATCCAGAATGCGGGAAGACACATTGTCATTTCGTCGCAGCGAAGTGAGAAGCGCTGCAATGTGCTGCGTTGACATCTCTGCTCAAGACATCCGTCTTGGTTTTGTTTATGACTTTATGACGCGATGGCAGCTTCATCAAATGTGCCGCTTGCGCGTCCGGTAACTGACGAGTCTAGAGGCTCTAGCAACTCGCATGGCCATGGTTCAGCTTGCCTCCAATACGAGGGTATGCGCGAGGAGCTCGCTGAAAACCTGCGTCTTCATCAGAATGGTACCTGCCGTCCTTGTGTTGCATTCGCATTTCGAGAGGGCGGCTGCTTCAAGGGCGAGATGTGTTCCCACTGCCATTTCTGCACAGCCGAAGAAGCTGCTGAGAGAAGGAAGCATCTGCAGTCCATCGCGAGACGACGTCGAAGGATGCGACGACTGGAAGCCGAACTCAATCAGGGGCACGAGCAGCATGGTCACAGAGACAGAGACTTGCAGGTCTTACCGCAAGAGCCCGGCGGGATGGGTGGATGCGTCGGATGCGCCTCAAATGTGCCGACAGAAGGCTATGGCAACCAGGTGTCGCGTGCTCAGGTGCCACCCTTGGCTTCGGCCCTGTCGGCCCTGCCACCTCCACCGGGAATTCCCTGGGCCTCATATCAAGACTACCCAGGCCATCCGGTTGCTGGATTGGGCGACTGGTATCCTTGGCCGCAGTCAGAGGTTCCCGGGCAAGAAAGGCAGGCCCGGGCCCTCTCAAATCCTGACGGGAGCCCCACGCTGGGAAATCAGTCCTTCTGGCTCTAGTCAGGTTGGTCCATGTTGGCTGTTGGTGGCTTCGGAAGCTGACGCCGAAATGGACACTGTTCTATTCATGTGTAATTCGGTTTCACCCATGTTTTTATGAAGGCCATGCCACACTCCTTTTGGAGTCCAGCGTCACTACTACCAGACTACCATTGGTCCCCTTGGCTTCTGCTGAGCTGCGATAGCTTTCGACGGTGTCCGCACTTACAACCCTGCAGGCGCCTGGTCTCAGGGTGTGGGCGGCGCACGTTAAAACCCAATCAGATCCGAGCAACTCGGACCGAAAAGGAACAGCCTTGAAGAAGTGCCGGAAGCCGTCTCTGCCTTGCGCCGGTGCGGCCGGTTAAGAGGATATAGAGGATTCTGCCACAATTCTCGACTTGGAAGGATGGACGCAAGCACCCGTCCGAAGCCTGCGACGACGGGAACGTCTGGGATGAGGCGCGATATGAAACACAAAGCCGGTTGTACAGAATGAAAGGACCGAAGGGCTAGGACGAAGACATGCGCTCTGTGCTTCTCAGATTTCTCAGGATGGCTGCTCCTCCACGTGCGAATCCGAACCTGGCTTTGAGTGCCTAGGCGGTGGTTTGACTTTGCCGCCAGGTGCCAAGCTTTTCAGGGTGGTGCCACGGCCACGGCGGCCTCGGCATGCCTGGCTCAGGTCAACGTGCACTCCTATCTGTGGTGATGGCTATGAGGCCCACCACGTCTGCCAGCACCGTTGAGGTTTCTTCTGCTTTCGATGTGTGAATCCGGAGGTCTTTGGAGAGGGCTGCGATGATGGCAATCAGATCCCCTGGGACGGCTGCGATCAGTTCTGTCAGGTGCTGGGCTCGTCCTGTGCTTTCTGATCTGAAGTCTTGAGCTGTCTTGAAATGCAGGTGGAGCAAAGCTACCACTGCACCCGTGCACCGAAGCCTGGTCAATCAGGCACAGTGACAGAGGGCAACCAAGTGACGTGACGTGCATAGGCATAGGCCAAACAGGCGTGTTTTTTCAAGTGCAGGGGCCGCTTCTGCATGCTCGCCAACCTGTGGCGATGGTCTGCTCAACGGCGAAGAGGAGCGGACCCTCGCGCTTGGGGAGTGGGCCGGGACGGGCCGCGGGATGCCGTGGGCCTTGGGCCTCGCTTGGGATGCGACGAAATTGCAGTCTCATGCAGATGCAGGAGTGCGACGGCAGCTACAGCCCTCTTCCAGGCAAGGAGAGTCCTTTCCAGAGCCCAATCGATGTTGCACAAGATGCCTAAGGCAACGGAACGGAGCCGCCTGTGCTGACCCCTCGGATGGGGTCGAAGGCAAGGAAGATCAAGGTTCAGGATTTTCTCTCGTGCAGGCCTTGCTCGAGGTGCAGGCTGTTGGCCGTGGATGTCTGATGCCCAGATTCTGAATGAATTGTGCATGTTTTTGTTTATCTACCTGTACGTCTCTCTGGTCTATCCGTATGTAGGCACATGTGGACCACATCAGCCATTGCCAGACCTTCAACTCAGGTTTGTGGTGACTTCCGACGTGGTCCAACAGAACAGTGCACCTTCCCAAGCCGGGACCGAAATCTGCTTCCTGTACCAATACGCATTGGGATTTCAGGAGCAGCGTGAAAGCACCGAATCTCATGCAAAGGATGATGATTCACGGCCGGAGTTTTGTCTAGGAATGTCCAGCTCTTGATAGTGTGATACCGCCGCTGTTTTGATTCAGGCTCTTACCTCATTAGACCCTTTAAGAATTAGTCAGGAAGCACAGGGGCAGATTTCGTCTTATTGGTCCTTCGGCTTTTGGAAGTCTCTTGTTTTGGCTTTGCTGTGGGCATCGGCCTGCCCGTCCGGGTATTCTCGGCCTGGCAATCTCTGCGCAGGGATTGGTGTTGGGAGCCCTGGGACTCGAACCGGTGCATTGGGACCATGATTCCAGGTGATGATGGCAACAATGCAAGCGGAGATGGTTGCAGCTCGTCTTGTGACCTGGAGACAGGCACCCTCCCTGCTGCATCTCACTTTAGTCGGTCTTGAGTTCGTTAAGTTCCTTAAGTGTGCCAGCCGCTGTCGTCATGCTCATCGACTTGACCCTCCTCTTCCTCACTGCCAGTCTGCTCGTGGTAGTGATGGTGATGTGGTGAATAGACAACAGAACTGCTACCCGCTCTTTGTGAATGAACAGAACTCAATGTTGGAGAGGGAGGAAGAGCACCAGTACTGCTCATTCCTACTGCAACAACAACGACAACAATAGCCATGGTTACTACTACTACTACTACTACTACTACTACTACTACTACCACTGCTACTTCCATTACCACTACCACTGCCACTACTGCTACTACTGCTACTGCCACTATTGCCACAACTGCTACAACCGCTACAACTACTGCTACAACTGCAACTACAACTAC